ATATATAAATGATCAAATTAAAGTTTTTTTTTTTCAAAAAAAAAAAAGTAAAAATAAAATAAAATGATGATTTCCTCATTACAATATTAAAATTTTTGCCAAATTAGTAAAACAAAGTCTATCAGTCTTAAATTTCTTATACAAATAATAATGTAATAAAAAAGATGCAAGTTACTTAATTAATACTAATTTGTAAAATTATGCAAAAAGATTGATCAAAACTTTTTGTTAACAATGGTAAAAATGAAAAGGAAATTTACGGGGAACTCAATTTTATTAATACTTACTGATTTTAGTCAAACTTTCCTGATTTAGAGAGCCCAAGTTTTTTTACTCCTTCAATTAAAAGAGAAGTAATCGTTACTATAAATATCATGAGAAAGTAATTTGTATGGTTCAAACCCGAAAAATTCATCTTTTTTTGTCACCAAACAATCATTTGAACCAATTATAATTTTAATATATTTTTTTTTTTTTTATGTTATGAAACATTTGGTATCCTTCCGTCCGTTCCATATGATCTTTTAAATGTTCTAGGTAATTATTGTTTATTATTTATTAAGCATTTAAGCATTTAAACATACGTACAGTACATATCTTTTTTAACGAATACAATCGATATGCATTATCAAAACACGTACGTTGATGCAATTGAAATGTAAGTATAGTAGAGTTACGGTATTAAATTTATTAAAGTTTATTAAAGTTTATTAAAAGTTTTTTAAAGTTAAAAAAAGTTTATTAAAAGTTATTTTTAAAGTTTAAAAAAGTTAAAAAAAAAATTATTAAAGGTTTATTAAAGTTATTAAAGGTTTATTAAAATTATTAAAGGTTTATTAAAGTGATTAAAGGTCTATTAAAGTTATTAAAGGTTTATTAAGTTATTAGTTTAAAGATTTATTAAAGTTATAAAAGGTTTAAAAGGTTTATCAAGTTATATCAAAGTTATTAGTTACTAAAAGATTATTAAAAGTTACTTTAAAGTTACTAAAAGATTATTTAAAGTTATTAAAAGTATATTAAAGTTTATTAAAGTTTAATAAAGCTTATTAAATCATTAGTCATTAGTCAATATTAAAGTTATTAAAGTCATTAATCTCTTTCGAATATCTTTGGTTCTTTTCTTCCTTTCCGGAGTTCTTTAACTTTTTTTAGGTAACAGACCAAAAAAAATATATATATATGTATGTATATACACTGTACATATTTTTTTTAAGAAATTCATTATTATATATTTTGTGTAAATATTTTTTTTTTTTTTTCAAAAATAGAATTTTTTCTTTTTTTAATTTAGCCATATTTAATATTTTTTAGTTTACAAAATAAGATCACATGTTTACAAAAAAAACTTTCTCAGAATTTATTTTATTTCTCTAGATCAAATTTTGTTTACCATAATAAGAGTAAATGAATAATCGGTTGAAATTTCTAGACTCCGCCACAACCTTCTTACATTCTATCAATGAAATTATATTTTTAGAAATGATGAACGGAGAAAATATTGCGGTCGTTTCATTCGTTTTACAATGGTAAACATTCGTTCTTTTTACGGTATTACGGTAATATTTATTAAAATAATATTCTTTTAAAAGTAAAAAAAAATAATAAAATCCTCCAAGCTTAACTTATCCGGTTGAGCGACCGGTTTTACTGATTGTCCGTTTGACCATATGTCCCACATGTCTCAATTTCTGAAACTTCTCATTATTCTACAAAAAACCCCCCAAGGAGTTTATGATCTAATTTTTTTTTTTTTTTTCATTTATTTATTTATTATTTATTTATTATTTATTTATTTTTTTTAAATGGTCGGTCAAAACGGATGCAACCGTTCGATAAATGTTTCAATTGTTTCATGCCCTGGTTTATACTTTTTTAATATCGATCCGGTTATTGCCGTAATTTTTAATATATGTTTTTAAATATGTTTAATATGTTTAATATATTAATTCGTTAATTCGTTAAATTTGTTAATTCTTTATATGGAAATTTATTATTCTCCAATTTTGAACTACAACACTTTTTGTCACGTTAATGTTGACGTATTTATTGTTAATTTATGATGGTTAATTTCTTAATGTCGTAATGCCGGATCGTAATACCGGGTCGTAAATCGTAATGCCGGCTGGTAGAAAATTTCTTAAAAGTATGAATGTATGATCACCGCCGGGATAAGATTTTATTCTATTTAAAAAAAAAAAAAATTCGAGTCTCCAAAATATTTTATTAAGTACGTTTGCCAAATGTACTGTATAATTTGTAAGCATTGTCGAAATTCTCGACGTCGAAAATACGTCGACATATTTTTATTATGGTTACGCCACAAATACGACATTATAGGCATTACGGCATATGCTGTAATAGTATCGCAGCCGAAATTACATTTCGTCAAGCACCTATAATTTAATTATATTGGTATACAGTTTAATGACACCCGATGATTCATTATAAACAACGGCTAAATTCGTAGTTAAGTTCTCTAGATTCATTTAACAACCGATTTATCATTAGATCATCTAACAATTGGTTTATCCTTAGAAATATTACAACGTTAAAATAAATTACAATGTTAAAATGATTACAACGTTAAAAATGATCAATCGGATTATCATTAACGCGATATCACGATATTTTCTTACAACTAAAAAAAAAAAGTTGACTTACATATATTAAAAAAAGCATTTATTAAATTAAATGATACCAGACTCGCATAGGTAAGACCATACGTCATCTGAAACCTCTAAATAATTTAGATCTAACTCATCTATTTGACCAAAAGTTCACGTATCTAATGTATCCAATGTACATTTCAAATACTTGTTTACTTTTCTTTTTAACTCATGATTTTAACATACGATTAACTGAATTTTAACCTCATGGTAAACTCATAATTGACTCAATGATTAAAATCTAAATTTAACTCATATTACTCAAAACTTATAATAACCTAATTTAGCTCATAATTAATGATCTTCTTTGATATGGATTCCCAATTACATCTTCATATTTTTTAAATTTATAAAATTTTCCCGTAAAAGAAAATTTTCCTCCTGTAACACGATCTGAAACTATTAAAACGAAAGAAACAAAAAATGCGTAACCGAAACGATAGAATTTTTTTTTTTTAAAAAATATTTTTAAGTAAATATTTTCAAATAAAAAAGTTTTTTTTTTAATAAAAATTTACATATCAGATATAAAGTAATAATGATAACGAACCAGCAAGAATATCCAATGCATCCATTAATTCTAACATGACTTCTCTTGGTACATTTAAATAAATTAATTCAACACCATTACTAGGACCAACGCTCATATGTAAATCACTTGAAGTCGAACTTGAAGGAGAGAGAGTATTTCCTTCTCTTCTTTCATTAACCCCACTAACGTTAACTTCATTATTATTATCATCATTATCATCATCATCAGCTTGAAATTTGAATATATCCTTTGCCAAAATGTTAGTACAGGGAGATAATTTATAACCTAAAATCATTCCCATACCAAATTTTGCTTGTTTAATATCACAAGGATTTTCACCTGGTAATAAAATTGTTGGAATATATTCTTTAGTACGCCAACCAAATGGTAATGATGTTGGGAATTTTTTTACAAACATTTCTAAATGTATTGCACAACATGTATCTCCAGGATTTCCCATTAATTCTTCATCTGTAATTGATGATGATGATGATGGTGATGATGATGAAGAATTAATAAGTTGAAGTGTACAAATATTTTCAAATTTTTCAAATTTACTATGAAAATATATTAATTTATGTGCAAATTCCATTTTTAACTATAAAATAGAAAAATATATAATTTTTGAGAATGAGAAAAAAAAAAGAAATTTTTTAAATTTTTTTACAAAAAAAAAATTATAAATTTATAAATTTTTAAATCGATACCGATTTGAATACATTACTTCGAATTTTAAATCATTTCCAAATCTACCATTTATATGATCACCGATCACAACAGGAATTAATATATTCCACTTTTTACATGTTCTTCTTATTCCCCATAAATATTTGTAACTAAGAAAATATTAATTGTTAAATAATAATGTTCTTTATTTGTAATAATTTTCATAATAAAATAATAATAATAATAAAATAATAATATAATATAACTTACTTATTTTCTAGTAATACATAATTGAAAAATTTCAATAATAATTCATTTGGTAATGTAGTTATCATAACTTATTTTTATATAAATAAATAATAATTCTTTTAATAAATAATAATTCTTTTAATAAATAATAATTCTTTTAGGATGAAAGAAAAAAAAACTGAGAAAAAAAAAATTCGATTTCAAACGGCTTTAAATATATGCTAAAATGTTGAACGTGTGACATGTCAGATGATCAATAATGGTAAATAAAGCTCCATGAGCTAAGCCAGATGTTGTAACGTTGACGTTAATTATTTGATTACGGTTAGTACGAAAAAAATTAGATTTACCATACATAGGTTTTAAGTTGGTTTATCGACAACTGTTAGTCATTTAATGATTCGCAGTATAAATAATCAAGAGAAAGAAAAAAAATTTTTTTTTTTATGATCCAAATAAAGATATTGTTTGATCTTCACTTGATTCCCCCAAACAAACAAATGGAAAATTCAAATATTTTTGATGTTAATTTTTTTTTTTTTTTTTTAGTATAATAGTTGTATGTACATAATAATAAAGATCTTTGAAGATATTTGATGATGATGTACTCCAAATAATACAATGATCAGGTATATAAAAAAATCTATTTTTAATATAAATATATAAATGTGATTTTACTTACTATTTGATTATTTGATATGACTGAAATGTAATGAAATGTTTTTTTAATATACTATTGATTTCTTCCAAGTCGGTTTTTTAAAAGATGAAAAAAAAATATTTCACAAAAAGAAAATAAAATAATTAAAATAAAATAAAAAATACATGACCATCCATATATAACTAACACTACAAATACTGAAAACACTACAAATACATCCATATACAGTATATTACTACAAATACTAAATAACCATCCATATATTACTAATACCGAATAACTATCCATATTAATACTAATACTGAATAACTATCCATATATTACTAATACCATATATTACTAATAATACAAATACTGAAATACTTGAATAATTTCTAAATATAAAACAATCGAATTAATGTTTCTAATTAATGCTTTTGTTTTTTTTCGAGAACCGACTTGTAATGATATAAATGCCTGATAAATGCAAACACATTTTACATAGAATTGCTACGATCATATATTGTATTATTATATGATGATGAATTATTATTATTATATGATGATGATGATATGTTATCATTGTCCTGTGATGGTAATCTTCTTATAGGATTATTATAATAAATATTATTATTATTATAATTTTCCATATAAATTTGAGGTTCATTCATAGTTTGTATAGATTCATCATCATAAGCAGTTCCAAATTTATCAACATGTTCAGTTAAAATTGCTTGATCATTATCTAAAGTTTGTTGACTAGAAACTTCACTTTTGTTTTGACCTTGTCTCCAACTTTGTTGTAAAGGTGAAGGTGAAGGTGAAGATCGTTGATTTCTATTAAGAACAGCAAATGTTGAAGATGGCGATGGCATAGGAGTTAATAATACATTTCCATTTGAAATTGGTGATAAAGGTGGAGTTGTAGAATATGGTCTATAATTTGGATTAATATATGCATGTTCAATCTTAATATTTTGACTTGTTTCAACTCTTATTTGAGAATCAAAATCAGGTCCTAATATTTCTGCCACACTTATACTACTATCTGTTTTTATTACATCAAATGGTGTAGAAATAATCCTTTGTTTTGGTGTAAGTGAAAAATCCGGATTAAAAATTGATATTAAACAAATATATAATATAAATTCCCCAAAATTTGCGTTAGCAATTAATAAATCACTTATAAAATCTTTCGTAATTATAAATGATGTTAACATTCCATCTATACTAATTATTATATAACTTATTGACCATATAAAAAGTGATATATTAAACCATAAATTTAAATCTTGAAAATATTTTAATTTTCCACTATTTTGTAATATAGGTCTAGTATTTAAATTTAATAATTTTTCAATACTAATATGTACTCTTAATCCTCCAATAAAACATAATATTAATGCTATTCCACTAGCTGAAAGTCGGGGAACATTTTCCTTATATTTAGGATTTTCAAATAAAGCATCGAAAAGGTAAACAATAATTGGGAAACTAAAAAAAAAAAGAAAAATATTATATATACATATTAGATCCAAAATTTTCGGTTCAAAAATCAAAAAAATAAAAATAAAAATAAAAATTAATTTACATTGGTAATAATAATAAGGCCAATACTAGACATGTCCAATATTCCCATGCTCCAGTTTGTTGTTTCCTAGATGTTTGTTCCATGATATAATTCCAAAATATTTGCGATATAAATAAGCTCGTTCTAATAATAATATAAATAAATAATAAAAAAAAGATTAATATGATGGCGCAGTAACCCTAAATATTTGTCGCACCAAAATCTTTAGCTTAGATTATCCGTTAAATTTAATGTGACACGGAAAAGACCAATTGACAAATGAAAAAATTGTATTTTTATTAACTACTTACATGGTGAAACTTAATGAAATTGAATCTAGGTAATGTGATATATTATATAGCCGTAAATTTTTAAGAATCCAAAATGATTCCGGTTTTTCGATTATTATTGGTTCGGTAAGGTATCCTTCATTAATTTTAATAGAATACAATATAATATCATGTACAAAACGAACAAGTAAAGCTAGTAAGAATGCAAAGGTGAACAGGGAACGAGGTTCAAGTCGAATTAAGCGTAGAAAAGAAACAGGTTCCCAACGATTTGTCTGCCATGTTCGAACGATCATCCTAAAAAAAAATGATTAAAAAAATCTCATGAACTTGTGACTCTCAAATTATTTTTTGATTTTTTTTTTGGTTTTTTTAAAAGTATAAATGAAAATTTGATAGCTTACCAAACTAAAATGAATGGAATATAACATATTCTTGCTATTATAATAAAAGTGAACAAATAAATTTAGTAAATTTTAGTTAAATTATAATTTTCTTTTTATATTAAAGAATGGATCATACCAAGATAACTTGTATCGCTAAAGGTTGGCATTTTTTCACCCTCAAGGTGGCATGAAAATAATGAATAACTTTTGTGTGATAATCCAAAATACAGTTATTAATTTATAAAGATGAAAGGGTACGAAAACTGATTTTTTTTTTTAGGGAACAAAGTTCAAAAAAAAAACCAGTTTTAATAGCTCAAAACTCAACGTCAAAAAAGGGACGGCGAATTAAAGAAAAAAAAAAAAAATTTTAATTTTGAGGATTTTATATAAAAAAAAAATTAAGTCCTACCACAAGACCATAATAGTATTAAGCATGTTTAATGTATAATGATAATCAAATAAACCCTTACAAAAAGAAAATTTTTTTTTTATTTCTAAAATAGTATTGAATTGATGTTAATGTAACCTAATAAAAAAAACAAACAAAAAGTCATGAAGTTGTTATAAAATTATCATGAGAATTCGAAACTCTTTATTATTAGTTATATCCATTTAAAGCATTACATTCTTTTTGGAAACAATCATAAAAATAATAATAATAAATGTTTAATAGAATTATAATCTTATTTAAGTCTCTTCTTTTAATTATATAAATTAGAAATTCGAACCCAGATGATATATTTATAATCTATTTTTGTGTTTTACATTACAGAGTACAACATCAAACACATGCATATACTGTACGGCAGATTAATTATTTCTTAAATTTGTGATTATAAAAAAAAATTATTAGGCCAAAATCATTACCTATTTAGTCTTATCATTATTATTGGGTGCAGAATATCCGAGACCAAGTTCGGGATATTGTAAAGGAATTTTATCCACATATTCCGGAAGCTTGGATAAATCCAAAGGAACAGGCTTTCCCATCCATGCACTTCTGTCACTATGATCTAATACTTCATACTGAGTTAAAGGATGAATAAGTATCGAATGTACCCCATGATGAAGAGCAAACCATGAATAGACTCTAGAGAAATGTTCTTTAGGACACCACACTTCATAAGATCCCTACGAAAATTTAGAATTAGGTTATTAAATTTTAGTAAATAATAAATAATTTTTTAAAAGGTAAAAAACAAACATACGATTGAGTGAGGTCCCCTTGGTGAATCATTATAAGTATCTAACGGAACGGGATGAAAAAATCCTTTCTCGATTAGTTTAAATATCTTTTCCCGTAAAGCAAGAGCTGATGCACGATTTTGTTTATTGTCCTAAATAAAAATTTATTTATTTATTTATTATCTGCATATATATTTTTTATTTTTCATCTTGTAATAAAAAAATACCTGAAGAAAATAAACATGGAAATGATATTCTTTTATTTCTTCAGCTTCTGCTTTTGAAAGCAAGTTATCATCTTCCTCTTTATTAAAATTATTAATCAACATGATATTAGTAATGAGTAGAAGGGGGTGAGGAAAGGTGGGAATTTTATTTACTTGACAGACTTATTTTGACAAACGATAAAAGACACTATTCCTAATTATTTCAATTTCCGGTTTGAATTTATCACATCAATCACCCCGTTACACACGTATAAAAAAAATTAATATTGTATCATAGATACTAAATGATTGGTCAGTCTGAATTTAAATATAAATATTTATTATTTGAAAATAAGGGGTAACGCCTTAGCGTATTAGAAATCGAAATCGATCTAAACTGAAAACGTTAAATCAATGAATTTCCAGAATAAATTATAGTTATTGATGTAATGCAATTAACCACTATATTATTTATGTAAAATAAGTATATTTGATTATTGACTTATTGTCCATTTTTTGTGCGTAACCATTCTTCTCTCAATTTATGATATGTTCTTTTCATACCATACGTAGAAATCCTTATCTGAGAATCAGTACGATCACTAAATGTTAAAAAACATTGTTAATATAATTTTAATAAATCAAAAAAAAAAAAATTATAAAAACTTACTTAGAATAAATTGTTAATGTTCCTCTACCAAACATTAATTGAAAACAACTCCTGTGAAGTTGCAAATCAGTTATTAGTCGAACGTCCTAAACGAAGAAGAATTAGAAGAATTAGAAGAATAGAAGAATTTCATTAATTGAAACTTATTAATTATAATTACGCATATGGATATCACATACTCACCAAAGTTGATTCTGTTGAACCGCAGCATCCTCTAACATAATCAATTCTTTTATTTGTTATTCTCCATTTAACTACGAAATAATTTAAATCAATATTGTCATTTTAACTAACTGAACACAAAATAATTAATAATTACCTGTACTGCAACATAATGGAGAACACATTCCCATAGGCCATGTCGTTCCTTTCCAAATAATGTTCTGTGAAAAAAAAAAACGATGGTAGAAATTTTTTATTATTGAGCAAAAAAAATTCTGAGAGAAATTACTACTAAATTAATTACCTCTCCGTTTTGTAACATTTCCAATCTTAAAAAAAATTTTCTTTTTTTTTTAAAAAAAAAAAAAATAATAATAAATGAAATAAAATAATTCAAAATTTCCAAGAATCGCAGGTATTTATTATAATCCCCTTTTCCGTAAATTCTCGATCGTCCGTTTGAAAGTTATTGTCGGAGCGTCCAAAGATATTCTTATTTTTTAATATTTGTATATCAAAATGATCTTTATGAATTCGGCTGTTTATAATATTTTTTTTTTCTATTCTTGGGTAATTATCACATGAATAAAATTTTAATAAATTATAGAATCATTATATTGTCATTATAGCTTATTTTTGTCGCTCGCGTTGATGCTCGCTTTGAAAAAAAATGTCTCAAATTTAATCGCAGTAAAAAAAAATGTATATATGCATATAATTATTTAGATTTATCATTTTACTTAGTTAAATGAGTAGTTCAATGAGTAGGTTCAATGTTTTGAAATCCACGTGGAATTTATTCATAAAATTGTTGTTTCTTATTCATGCTTAAACGTATAATTAATCATATTTTTGTAACTTACGAGCTTGCTTAGCTTAATTTTAGCTTACTAAAATTGAGGACATAAAATGGGTTCCTTTTCCTTTTTTTTTCTTTCATTTTTTCAATTCTATTTTTTTTTTAAAAAAAAATAAAATTCAACAATTTCCATATATCACTACAACTTTATCAATTCATATATCATCCAATTTTTATCAATTTAACTTCATCAAAACTATAATATGGAAACTATTTCAAAGACTCCTTCTGAACTTACCGAATTTGTTTTACGCCCCAATTTGGGTACCTCGGGTAGACATATTCGTGTTCGTTCTAATTTCTTCGAAATTACAAGTCTTCCCGACATGGAAATTATTCATTATGATGTTACTATCACTCCGGATGTACCTCCAATTTTGAATAGAAAGATTTTTGCAGAGTTTGAAAAACTCAATCTTTCTGGAGCTTTAGGAAATGTTCGATGTGTTTTCGATGGTAAATTTTTAAAATTAAATTTTTGTGTAATCATAAACGTATACATGTTTTTAAACGTTACACTTTAATAGGACGTAAGAATATATTTGCATCTCGACAATTGCCCATTAAAGATTCTCAAGTATTTAAAGTAATATCTTTAAATTTATTTCGAATTTTCTTGAATAAAATTTCATTAATCATGATTTACTAATTATTAGGTCTCTCTCCCGAATAATCAAAATACTTCTGGCAAGCCACTTCCAAAATGTTTTGAACTCAAGGTGAAGAAAGTTGGTAAGATTAATTATGAGGAACTTGTATTATTCCTCGGAGGAAAGAGACAATTGACTCCTAATTGTTTAACCGGTTCGTTTCATTTACGATTTACTGCGCCCTTATTATTTTTGTCGGTGATTACTGATTAAAATTATTATGATATAGCTATTATGGCTCTTGACGTTATTATTCACCATCAACCATCTATGGATTATGTGACGGTTGGTCATTCTTTTTTTACGCCACGAGATTCTCGACCTATTTCTGGAGGCGCAGAAATTTGGCAAGGGTATTACCAATCAGCGCGTCCCACTCAAGGTGAATTTTTAAATAATTCGATTGTTTATTGTTTAAGTCTTGACTAATTTTTGTTTATTACCCTGTTAGGAAAAATGATGATCAACGTGGATCTGAGTGCTACTGCTTTTTATGAACGTGGTCCTCTTTTGTTAATGATTACAAAGTTGCTTGGTCGTAGAACACCTGATGACCTCCGCCGTGGAGTATCTGACAAGGATTATCAAAAAATTGAAAGATCCATCAAGAACTTAAAAATCCGTGTTACACATCGTGGAGAATTAGTATCTAAGAAAAATTTCAAAATATCTAAATTTACTCCAAGTAGTGCAGATAATACTAAATTTGATAGTAATGGAGTTACTATGAGTGTCTCCGAATATTTTCAAAAAACTTATAATAGACGTCTCAATTATTCATTTTTACCTTGCGTTGTTGTTAAAAGAAATATTTATCTTCCAATTGAAATTTGTGAAGTAGTTGAAGTAAGAAAATATTTATTTATTTTTTTTTAATATCATTTAATATTAAAAAACTAATATTTTTAAATATAGGGACAACGTCATATTCGAAAACTAAGTGAGAAACAGACAGCCGATATGATCAAATTCACTTGTCAGCAACCTCATGAACGTGCAAACAAAATAAGACAAGGCCTGGATATATTAAATTATCGCACTAATGAATACCTTAGACAATTTGGTCTTACAGTTAACAATGACATGGTCGTGGTAAGTAATTTTTATAACACATGAATTAATATTCACATGAAATAATTAATCAATTTATTTATATTTTAGCTTGAAGCTCGTGTACTTTCTACCCCTACCATTACTTATCATCCATCCTCACGTGATTTTGCCTTTCAACCACGCGAAGGATCTTGGAATTTGAGAGATAAAAAAGTTGCTGTTGGTGCCACTCTTGGTTCTTGGGCGGTAGTTTGTTTTGGATCAGAACGTGATTCCCCACCCCAAATGATTCAAGCATTTATCAGACAACTTGTTATTACATGTTCTGATACTGGAATGGTACGTAAATATTTGAATTTTTATTGTAATTAAATACTAATTTAAAAAATTACTTTCATTATAGGATATTCCAAATAAAACACCACCTATAATTCATGCGAGCCCACAAGGGGACATTGAGAATATTCTTAAGCAAGCTTGGCTTCGCGCCGGAAATATCTCTAAAGCTCAACCCCAATTGATCTTATGTATCCTTCCCAACATTGGAGTTCCGCTTTACGCGGAAATTAAACGTGTAGCTGATACAGTCATTGGAGTTGCAAGTCAATGTTGTCAAAACAAACACATGATACAGGCAAAAAAGCAGTATTGTGCAAATATCTGTTTAAAAATAAACGTAAAATTAGGAGGAATGAATTCTTTTATCTCTCCATCTCAAGTTCCTTTCATTACTGATCGTCCAACCATTCTTATGGGAGCAGATGTTTCTCATCCAGGACCCGGTAATTATTTTTGTAAAGGATTAAAGAACTTATTTACAATAATTAAATTATCTAATGTATTTCTATCTCCGTCGATTAGGTGACTTAAATCTTCCGTCTATCGCTGCATTATGTGGTTCTATGGATTCTAGAGCTTCAAGATATTCTGCTTCTATCCGAGTTCAGTCCGGTCGTACTGATATTATTGCTGACTTGGGTAATATGGCGAAGGAATTATTAAAAACTTTTTATCAATCTTGTGGTAGAAAACCTGAACGAATTCTTTTTTACCGTGATGGTGTTTCCGAGGGTCAATTCTCTCAAGTTCTAAGGGGAGAGGTTGACGCTTTAAGAGGTAATATAAGAAAAATCAATCCTGTATTATATATTCATTTCGTGTTCATTAATTGTTTATTATCTTATTATATAAATAGCCGCTTGCGCATCTCTTGAACCTGGTTATAGACCAACCATCACATTTGTCATTGTTCAGAAACGTCACCACACTATTTTCTTCCCCTTAGATAAACGCGACGCTGATCGTACTGGCAATTGTCTACCTGGAACCGTAATAGAATCAACAATTACCCATCCTTTTGAATTTGATTTTTGTAAGCTTATCTATAAAGATGTATTCTCTACTCCTTAAGTCTTTCAATGCTTAATTTTTTTTAAAAAAAAATGCTATCATAGATTTGCAAAGTCATCCCGGACTACAAGGAACTTCTCGTTCAACTCATTATCACGTATTGTACGATGAAAATTCATTCTCTTCAGATGGGTAAGAATCAAATTATATATTGAATAATTAAATTTATTTCTTTCAATATTGATTTTTTTTTTCTGATTTTTTTTTAGAATCCAACAGTTATCTAATAACCTTTGCTATATTTACGCGCGTTGCACCAGGGCAGTTTCTATTGTAAATATTTATTCAATAATCCGGTTAAAATACTTGTAATTTTTCGTTAAATTTTCTCCCTTTTTGATTTAGGTACCTCCTGTTTATTATGCACATATCGTGTGTCGACGTGCTAGATTTCATTCTCACGGAGACGATATTGAAATTTCTGAAGGAGGCATTGGAGCCACATCAACTTTTGGTGTGGTTAAACCGGAATTGCAACGGGTACGCTTTAAATATTTCACTTTATATTTCTATTTTATAATACTAATATAATAAATTTTCACCCCCCTTTTTTTAAAAAGGTCATGTATTATATGTAAATATTATTGAAGTTGACCTACTGCAGCGAATTTTGGAAACAATTTCTTTTGTAATTAAAGCACGCATATTTTCTTAGCTTGTAGACAAAAAAAATTTTTGTATAATTTTATGTATATAATAGAACTTTTTGTAAAATAAATTGCACTATTGTAACGTGAAATTTATCTAAAAAAATTTGTTTAAGCCAATGTGCATTTGGATCAGTTGAAATAATCAAATTCGGTAAGAGTTGAAGATCTGGAAATTTTATTTAAAACCTTATCATATTTATTTTTCTCAGGCAGTAATAGAGAATTCAAAGTTTCTTAATGGATACTTTCTTTGGTGCTGCTTGTGTTTTTCCAATATTAAAATCATATTTAAGAATCTTAAGAAAGATCTGTATATAAAAATTTTTAAGAGATTTATTTTTAAACAAAGACTTTAAATAAAACAAAAGTAAATAAAATTATTATAATAAAAAGTTTTTCCTAATAGTGTACGTACATTTTCAACAAATTTGTTCTCCATTTCTAAGCAAACTGAATAACTTTATATAATTTTACTGTAAAGACATCATTAAGGTTTAAATTATTTAAAAATTATTAAGCTTCAAATGTATTTAACCGTATTTAAAGAAAAGATAAAGAAAAAGAATTTAGGGATTCAAAAAGTAATATGATAACTAATTCGTCTCTATACATGTCACAATTAACAATTTAATAGGACGAGAGAAATTATCATCTGTTAATTAAACAATTCGAGCATCATGGAAGATAATTATTATGAATTGGAGGTAGAATAATGATATTTAGATTATTTATTATTTTTAAAGATTTATTACATCAATTAAATCATAATTTTTTTGTTTAGGTGAGACCTGTACTTGAAAATCATCTAATTCGACTTCAAGGACTATGTGCACGATGGGTACGAAAAATTTAAAGTGATCCATTTATTTATTATTTCATGATTGTAAAATTATGATTAATCTTTTTATTTTATAGCGGATGAATTTGTTGGCAATTTCTGACATAGATAAGAACATTATGTTCGTTGCTATGAATGATACGATTTTCGTGCATCGGTTGAATTTTAATGGTAAACCAAGTGAACCTTTCAAGAAATTAAGATATTCTACAGAACCTGATTATACAAACAAGGTTTATAATTTTATTTTATTATTAAGGAATTATTCCGATTTTTTTTTAGACTTTTTTAATATTTATTTTATACATTTATAGAGTCATACAATCAATGCCATTAAGGTTGGTAAGATTGGTAACGAAGAAGTACTTGTTAGCGTTGATGAAGCAGGTGATATCCGTATATGGTTTACGTCTAATCTTGATAAAAATCCAATACAATTTAGGTAAATTTATAAAAATTTATCTGATTTTTTTTTATTTTTATCCTTTTTAACAAGAGACTTGTTAATATATATATATAATAAATATATATATAAATTTTTAAAAAATCATTCATATAATATAGTAATAATGAATCAACATGGGGTATAGCATTACATGGTCCAAAACGTTTATTAGCAGTGAGCTCCAATTCACATGAAATTACAATCTTTAATTTAAAAGAAAGTGGAAAGTTTTTCAACGAATTTGATGATGATGATGATAATTTAGAAAGTTCTGGCGAAGAATCACAAACACCAAGAACTTATGCTTCAGTATTGACAAAGATTTCAGAAAGTGACGCACTTGGTGAGAAAGCAATATCTGTACTTCGAGGTCATGAGCACAATATTCCCAATATATGTTTTAGTGCGTGCGGCCGGTTTTTGGTTTCATGTAGTATCGATTCTACATGTCGAGTTTGGAATATTAAAACGGGGGAATTAATGCAGAAGAAAATATTAACAGGAGATTGGTCTGATTTGAATGATAATGATGAGTGGTATGGACTTTTTTAAAAAAATTAGTTATTTAATATATATAAAAAAATTCAATAATTAAATAAAAAAAAAATTAATATAAAGTATCTTGGACTTTTATCTTGATTTCTTTTTATAGGGGCTGGACAGCAAATTTTGTTCCTAAATCTGCTTTCAAAACTGTTTCTTCAAATTGTGAAGAGCTTCAACATCTGATTTCAAATCCGGAGAGCATTCCATCGTCTCCTCGGTCTGTTGAGACAATGGATTCACTTAATCTTTATCGTCAGAATTTAAGACGTAACTTGTCTGGACAAAGACCGAATGTACGAGCTCCAGAGGATTTATATAGGATTATTATCAGTAGAAATTTAAGAATTAGAAACAGAGAATATGAGGATGGTTATATAGAAAATGGAGCTCATTCTGAATCAGGTACAGAAGAGGAATCAACCGATGACGCTTCAGAATTAGAATCAAATGAAGGTGATTCAGAGTTGGAATTGAGTGAAGATGATACGGAAGTGGGATCGAATAACAATGACCAACATGAATATAATGAGCATTCTCTTAATCGTGAACGCTTAACAGAAATTGAAGGGAGTGCCACTCCAGCTTATTATGATCGTGCTGAATCAGCAACTCCCGTCGTGGAGAATTATACGGAAAATAATCCAGATTATAGATGGTCAGTTGGACACGAATTAAATATCTTGAATAATAATCATGAACAAAATGAGAATAATTCATCCTCAATACCGGAAAGAGAGAATCACAATGAGGAGAGATCCGAGGAGATAATTGAGGAGAGATCAAGCCAGCCTACTCAAAGTAATACAAATACTTATGAATCTCCTGCATATCCTTTATATTCTCCAAGGTCATATACCGTTTCAGAGGATTTAACTCCAGTTTCATCGCATAATACTAGCTTTTCGCCCGAATTATCAGGTAATCTGAATAATGTTTCCCAAAGTAACTTACCAGATTCTTTTACTGGTTCGTCGCTTGTATATTATCATCAAAATTCTCAATTTTCATCATTTTCACCCATAAATCCGACACATCTTCCAACATCCCCTACTTTTTCTCCTCAATTCTCACCTCAATATGTTCCTACTACTTCTACACAAGTTTCACCTTTTTCGCAACATTATTCATCTACTTCTCCACCTACTTCTCCACATTATTCTCCAACATCGCCCTATTATACATACTTGCCAACATCTCCGCAATATTCATCTACTTTTTCTACTTTTCCACCATCTTATAATACTTCCCCTCAATATGCGACACAATATCCGTCACATAATTCTTCAAATTATTCACCATCATCTCCACATTTTTCTCCCATATCGCCTGAACATATTGATCATCCTTCGTGGTTTTCAAACATACATCACTCATACTCACCAATTGTTTTGCAACATTCGTCTTCTTCAGTGTCTCCGACTTATTCTCCAGTATCACCGGAATATATTCCAGCGAACCGCGAACTATCTCCGTATCACTCGTATATAGAGGAATCTATCGAAGATGTTATAAATGGTTTACGGCAGGAATCGTCATTATCTAGTCCAAATAGTCCAAATATAAGACATGATTCATCGCCCGAAAGGCATGAAATTGAACCGATTTCTCAGTCAGATCACTTAGATTTGCATGATAATGATACCATATGTTCGCATGACTCGCTTACGATTGATTCGCCTTTACCTTCATCATCACGTGAAAGTAGTGTCAATAACATAGATTCCCCATTAAGGACTTCAAATGATTACTATATCCGATCTCATGTTCGTATACAACCGCTTGGCTCATCTCAGTCGGATTGTTGTCCAGATTTAGGATTACCTGATGAACTTGTCCTTTACACAACAAAATATGATTTACTATTGCTTGACCCTAAACTAAATTTGAAAATTTTGCGTACTGAAAAAGACCTAGTACATAGAGTAGATACAAGACGTTACCCAATTCACTTAGATTTTGATCGATTAAATATGGTTGAGGTTCGATTAAATTCTCTTCGTTTAAATTGTTCAAAATCAATTATTTTCTATAATAGAAATTAAGACTAACAATAATTATATAAATTGTCTATTAATAGGTGATTCCAGAACTTTCACTCATGATAGTAGCTAGTCAACAAGGAAAGGTCGCGTTAACTAGACTCATTAGGTATGAAATTAATTAACAATTTTTTGTATATTTTAAAATTAGTTAACTTTTTTTCGTTCGTTTAGAATCGTTTGTGATGATGGGGAGGAAAATTATTATTTACACCCAGAAAAATATCTTCCAAACACGATAATGAATACACCATTATTAGGTAAGTAAAAAGAACAAATTGTTTTTATTATTATTATTATTATTAAATTTATTGTCAATCTCTCATCATTATTTTTTATACAAAAGGTATGTTCGTTGCTAAACACAATAAACTTCAAGATCCTGCCTTGTTTTATTATCGGTTATATCTAATGTATATTAATGGTACAATGTTTTGTTATGAGATACGAAGAAAGAAAGAAACAAACCCTTTGAGAATGGATAATATTTATATATAAGTTCTTCATTAAATAATTAATTTTTAATTTATATTAAGAATATGAAAAAAAATGAAACAAAGAAAAAGATTATTGTAGTTGTAATTTCATTTATAGTAACCTTTAGTAACTTGCTTTTATTTATCTTGATCTAAAAATTAGTATTAAATTTATATATTATATATATTATGAAAAATTATATAAATATCTATACTTTTTATATTGTAAAAAAAAAAATTAAAAATTAAGTATAATAATATATATATTTATTATCATTTGATTTTTTTTCTCTAAAAAAGGTATTCTCAAAATAAATGTAAATTATAATAGATGAACATATTTACAATAATATAAAATAATAAAATGAATTATAAAAAAAATGCGTTATAAAATAACAATGTCCAAAAATAAATAAATTTGAAAAGAATAAATATACAATATTAAAACAACTAATTAATCAATGAGCCACCATTTAACTACTCCGGTAGTACCCAAAACAGGATGAAGCAAAACGTAAGTCAAAAAATATTCCATATCTTTACGACGTTTTTCAATAAATTCAGGCACAAATTTACCCACAATTTTTTTAGGTGGTAAATTTGGTATAAGTTTACGATATTTGGGCTGGGCTTTAATAAGTTGTGCCCGTAATTTAACAAAATCGGAATACCTTTTTCTTACTACAAATTCCTTTTTTTTAAAAAAAGAAAAAGTTAAAATAAATTTAATAAATTTATAAATTAAATTGATGATTGAAAAATTATTAATTCTTACATCTGGGCATTTAATCGTACAAGTGTATACAACATATGAACCGATTCCTGTTCCTATTCGTATAGGATTACTGACAGTTACATTTTCGACTAGATTACTTGATCTGCTACAACGATCTAAGCTAATCTGAAAAGGTTGTGGTGAAGATGGTGGTAGTGAATCGGAAGGAGCAAAAGACGTATCGGAAAAATTGTCATCATAATCACTCTATAAATAAAAGAAGTAATTAGGCGCTGTTGTTTACACATTTTTTAATTTACAATACTATACCACTATACCATATGTGAATATGAATCATCTTCAATCGTATTAAGAGTAGTCGGTAGGGAATAAATAGAACTTGTTCGCTTTAAAATATTATAATTATGTGTAAAAGACGATAATTCTTTAATTCGTATATCTCCAAAGTTAGATTCTTGACTTTCAACAGCATCAACAAACTCATCATCCAGTTCATCATTCTCATGAATTATTAATTGAGACAAGTGTTTTGCAGCAGATAAATCACTCTCCTTTGTAGCTTCAGTAGACCAGAATGGAACACGTGCAGTGTTTGTAGTGTTTGTGCAAATTTGATCTGATGAAATGAAAGTAGTTGTGGAAGATTTTGAAGGAGATTTTTTTAAACCAAGATTTGCAACGAACAAATGGGCAGCTGATGCATTTTCTGAGTCCATTGTACGACCCCTTATTGTATTTGTTTCTGTGCAACTATCATGAATTGTCTCTGAAAGATCCTCTAGATCATGATCACTATGAACGATAATACTAATAGATCTATCTTTGGAGTTATTACAGTGAGGAGGTTGTAGTGTTTGTGGTATTTCGCGATGAATACGGTTTCTATATACAATATTTTCAGATGATGGTGGTTCCTTATAATGTTCATACGAATTAGATTTTTGTTCAAGGGCCGGATTTTCAGTGGATGCGACTAGAAACAAAAAAAAAATATATTTTTAAAAATTTCGACTGAATTTTCACGAGATTTGCTACAAAAAGTTAATCTTACTTTCAATTCCTTTTTTCAAAAGTAAGTGTAAACTCTCCATTGTGTCTTGGACGTAATCAAACCAATTACTAGATAGATTATCTCCATAATTTTCAATTTTTTCTTTAATTTCCGTTAATTCACCAATAACAGCTCGAATCTCACGACGTACTTCTAAGACTATTAATTTTCGATAAACATAAAATCAATAAAGATTATTTAAAAGCTAATCATACTATAAATTTTCATTAGTGAGAATGGGAATAAATTGTAAACCGTTATATTCGTGTATAATAAATATTTACCTTGTAAGGATTTTGAGGCTAGAGCTATGTCATAAGACAAATCATTCAAGTCTTCTTCGCAATCGCTCTTTGCTAAAGTTTTTTTTCGGATAAGAGTATCAGACTGTTTTTGTAGCAATACTAAATATATTGAAAATAAAAAGTCATTAGAACTCCCATTCTAACAAAAATACAATTTTGAGAACGAGACTTACAAGTGACATGACCGGATAAATCCAAAAGATCTTGTACTTGACTTTGCAAATCCATATATAATGATAATTTTTTAGAAACAAATTAAAGAAAACCGATTATTGGAAGTTACGGAAGGGATAATGTTTTAACGACGGGCCATATTGTCGTACATTAAAAATATGGTGTAATACATTTTTGGAAATAAATTCCCCTTGTTTGTTCAACGCATACATCACAACATAAACGAATTTTTATCGTAAGTGCAACAATGTATAAGCTAAATTTAATCTTGCATGCGGAGAAATTGAAAAAAGATGACATATTGGTGTGGAGTAAAAATTTAGTTACGCCAAATTTGCGGAATTACTTTATTATTTTCGGCTAAAATACCGGCGCTGTCAAAATAATAGCGATCAGCAATATACATCAAAAACGGGCAGTTAATGGAAGTGATGGATGAATTATTAATCATTACGTATAAATCTTTACCATTTTGACCCAAACTAATCCATACCACCATCCGAAATAAGTAACATAACGTCATTTTCACCTGGTAAATTTAAGATGATTTTGTAAGATTAGATTTAAGTAAGATATTACTTTTTCCACTTGCATTGTTAAAAATAATTAATAATTAAATTAATTTTTACATTATGATTTAATTTTAAAATATTTGTTATAAAGTCTCAAAATAATCCTAACATTTATTCTGTGAATCACATTTCTAAAAAATGAATGTCACAGGCGCAAAAATCTGTGATGAGGGGCCTCATCCAGAAACCCGAGATATCGTTTTACCAAATCAAACTGAATCAGTTTCTCAAATTGCCGTTGATGTAAGTTTTTAAGTAGTCTTTATTTATTATTGTGAACTTATCCTAAATTTATATTTTTAATTCACATACTTTCGGATCATATAATAGATTGGTGGTTCTTTAGCTAAAGTAGTTTATTTTTCAAATATTTCCAAAGGTGGAAGATTGAATTTCATTAAATTTGAAACCGAAAAAATTGATGAATGTATAGATTTTATAAGAAATTTGATCGCTGCAAGAAGAAATCCCGATTCATCCGATTTAAATTTAAAAAAAAGAATAGTTATTAAAGCCACAGGTGGTGGTGCTCATAAATTTTATGATGCTTTTATTGATAAGTTAAAAGTTAAAGTGGAAAAGGAAGATGAAATGGAATGTTTAATTACTGGTAAAAAAATATTAATGTCTAATTATATATGAAAATTCAAAGTATTGAATTTTTTGTTATATAAATTATTTTAGGATTGAATTTTTTGATCTCTGAGATTCCATATGAAGTTTTTACATATAATGAGAATGATCCTATGTGTTTTGAAGATACTCCAAATCCAACGAATATGTTCCCGTATATGGTAACTTTTTTAGTCACATTTGATTTGAGAGGGCATGATTAATAAAATTTGTAATTTATTTATTTATAAGCTTGTAAATATCGGATCTGGTGTAAGGTAAATGTTAATTTAATTTTATATTTCATTGCAATATATTTACTAAATCCCATTAATTATTAGTATATTAAAAGTAACTGAATCTAATAAATTTGAGCGTATTTCTGGTACTTCGGTAAGATTTAAAAATAGTCATTTACTAAAGTTGTCTACAAACATTTTTTTATAACTAATTTTTTTTAATTAGTTAGGGGGAGGTACACTTTGGGGCTTATTATCTTTATTGACTGGAGCTAAATCTTTTGACGGTATGTTATTTGAAACTTAAATGTAATGTTTAAATTTGATTGATTATGCATTTAGCTAATTAATTACAGAAATGTTGGAATTAAGCAAACACGGTGATAACACGAATGTGGTAAGTTTATTTTTTTGGTCTTAATATATATGAAATGAATTATAATTAATTAATTAATTTAATTATATATATATATTTTTAGGATATGTTAGTTGGTGATATTTATGGATCAGATTACAATAAAATTGGGTTAAAGTCTACAACAATTGCCTCTTCCATGGGTAAAGTGTTCAAAAAGAATATTAAGCAAAGTGTTGGAAATTTCAGAAGTGAGGATATTTCGAAATCTTTATTATATATGGTGAGGTAAAGTGTTGTTCTAGAACCGTATATTATTTTTCAATTATTGTTTTAATTTTTAATATATATACGATGCAGTAATAATATTGGACAAATAGCATATTTAAATGCTCAAGCTCATGGATTGAAGAGAATTTATTTTGGTGGATGTTTCATAAGAGGTAAGTCACTTTCTTTACCTCGTGTTTTTTTTTTAAAAAAAAAAATTATTTTACACATGACTTTTGTAGGGCATCCGATTACAATGAATACGTTATCTTATGCCATCAACTTTTGGTCACAAGGAACGATGAAGGCATTATTCCTTCGTCACGAAGGATATCTTGGTGCGGTTGGGGCTTTTCTTCAATATAGAACAAAACAACGTTCATATTCATTCTCAGAAATCTTCACTGTTCCACAAATGATTACAGAAAATTCTGTTAATGCTTATGGAATTTTGGAAAGCACTTCAACGAAATTGGTAGCATTTCCAAAGTTAGAGAATCTGGACGAATATCAACCAGATACATTACAATTAACAGATTCAACAGCTCAAAAATATTGGATTGATGTATTAGAGAGGAACCTTCATAGTCTTGTTGAATTGGCTAAAGAATGGACTTCAGATAGCGAAAATGACGGACAAAATCAAGATGTCCAAAGTAGGGCATCTTCTTTTGATACATTATTTAGAGGCCATTTAGCAAGATTAAGAGACCAACCTAATATGTATGGAGCTTTGACGGTTCGAAGCCTTTTAAACCTTCGGGAACAATGTTTACATGAACTAGGATTTCCTGATATTTTTTCTAAAGTCAAAGCCGCAGAAAATAAATCAGCACTACATAAGTTGCCAGGATTATTAAAAAAAGTGGATTCTTTACAATCATTGGAAGATAAAATTGAGTTATTGATAGATAATATTCTGGCTGGAAATATGTTTGATTGGGGATCAAGCCAAATAGTGAAACTGATAAAAGATGGAGAGTTATCCTTTGAAGCAGCTAAAGAAAAAGCAAATAAACCCGATAAGTTAAATCATACAAAAAAATTTATAGAAAGAATTATTAGTAAAAATAAGCCTCCTCTTAAGAAAGCTGTTATCTTTGTGGATAACTCTGGCGCTGACATAGTCTTAGGTGTAATACCTTTTGCTAGATTTTTAGTGTCATTAGGAATGGATGTTATATTGGCTGTTAATAGTCATCCCGCTATAAATGACATTACTGTAAGTATTATCCTTGATTATTAAATTATTAATTATAGATTACTAATTTGTATAGTTTGAAGAATTATCAGAAGTGGTAGCATCTATAGCAGAATTGGATAGTCTAGTAGCAGCAGCTTGGGCATCTAAAAAAATATCAGTTATGGAAACGGGTAGTGCAAGTCTCTGTTTAGATTTGAGAAGGATTAATGAGGATTTAGTTGAAGCTTGTCAAGATGTTGATTTAATTGTATTAGAGGTACTTAATTTATAATACATATATGTATATTTTAAATTTTTTTGCTTATATACTTTTTTCGTTATTTATAGGGAATGGGAAGAGCAATTCATACAAATTACAACGCAAAGTTTACATGTGAATCACTTAAAATAGCTGTTTTTAAAAATGCTGCTACAGCTACAGAATTGGGTGCTCATATGTATGACGCTATAGTTTTGTATGAAGAAGGAAATAACAATAAACCAAGTAGCATTGCTGAAAATGTTACTAATAGTAAAGAAAATAGTAATAATAGTGAAAATACTGTTAGTAATGGGATTGATTAATTTATTAGAATAATTTGATTTTGGAATATGTAATATTTTTGTAATGTATTAATATTCTTGTCTCGTTACGAAACTTCAATTCAAAATTACATACAGTGATCATTTGCTCTTAATAAATTACACATGAAGTATATCTAAAAAAAGGTTATTAATAGAGAATGAGCATATTAACATTTTTATAAAAATGCAGGAATTTAACAAGCTGTCGCAGGTGTTTGTTTCAAGTACTGATTTTATTCTCTATTAGCACGCCTTCATATCTATATCAAAATGATTTAGAAAAAGGAGCAGAATAAAATTATATTAGTTGCTAAAGCGACTACGCGTGATGAAATTAAGCATCTATAATATAATAATATCAATGTCTTTATCAGAAAATTGGTTTGATTCACATAATATACCAACCAATGTAATCCTGGGGACATTCCATATAATATTTGAGTTTTAAAAATAGCATAGTACTGCATTGTAATATAAACCATCATTCTGGAACACATCCATTACTAATTTCTATCAATGTAACAATTATGAAAAATTGGCCACAAGGTCACTTATTGAAAATAAATTACATAGATTTGTTTACAAAGTGAAATGGTGTTTCTATACGGATCACGCCAGTTTTTCATTTGTCTAAGCTAACTACACTATCACATAAACCCAATATTGATTCCTTCCAGTTTTCATTCGTCCCAATCGTATATATTCTGGATATAATAAAAATGGGTGTTATGCCGTTATACGAGGTAGTGGCAGAAACAAATTAACGTTAACCTTCTTAGTCTCTCGCCATTTACGTAATGTCCTGTTCTGCTTCAAGTTATGGGTTGAAGAAAAATAACAGTAAAGTGTAATTTAATCTACATATTTTTTACTATATTCGTACGACATCTGATGTCGCAAATCAGCATGAACTAATCAAGGTCACAGTAACACTGGGCTAACAATATCCTACCTCGCCCGTTTATACGGACTCTGCAGCCGATCCTGGAAAGTGGGCTTCACAGATATGAATTTTAGACGATTCAATGGAAATTGGAAATTGATTTTGATACTAAATTTTGATTATTGAAATATAATAAAATGGCGTATAATAAGTTTGAAGGGAGTGCTCTAATTTTTATCGCTATCTATGATTTTCGAAATAAAATTAACCGATTCCCACATACATATTCTGATTCTTCTTACAAATTGTGTAATCTTATTAATTAGTTGCTAGTATATGCCTGGCAGAAGTTTCCAAATTTCTAAAGCAAGGCTAAAATTTTACAATATGACTGGCTTTTACCAGTCGATCCAAAACTTGCGAGAGAAAAGAAAAAAAGTATTAGTGTGTTGAAAGTATCAATGTGAATTTCGACGTGCACAGTACTTATTTATGATGGCGTATCAACCGTACGATAATATTTTTTTTGTGAAAAGAATGATACCGTATATAATAATGCGGGCGTGAAAATCGTGAAATTTTATCAGAAAAACCTTGGTTTTTGTTTTGTAATATCTCTCCTTTCAGGACTTGTATATTGAGCAACATATTAAAGTACTTGAGTGAACAATTGGAATAGTTACCAAATCCTTCCCTGTGTATACGCATAGTCGCATACATTAAATACTACATCATAAATGGGTTATTTTTCAAGTAGGGAGGAAAAAGTTTCCATTATAGTAAATATGCTACTTGAGTAGCACATTTTTATATTAATGTGAAAACCAGTTAGTATTAAGTTGTATATGCATTTGCTACATACTTCAAAATTATATTATTATATTATATTATTATATTATATTATTATAAATATTTAAAATGGTCATATAATTCTTTTCTCTTTAACTTTTTCAGTTTTTCTTCTACGTTCTAACAAAACTTCATTCACTTTGGCACCAACATCTTTGCCACGGTCATCATTATGATTATGTTTATGTCGAATATGTTTAGCTGCTTTGGTAATTAAAGAACGAATTTCCTGTAAAAATTATAAAGAAGCATTAATACTTTTCATTGGTCAATTTTTAACATCTGTTTTTTAAACGCTTACTTGACTTTTTCTTGAAGGGTTTAACCTATAAAGCAAGTTGGTATTAGTATTTGTATTAGGCTATAATTTTACTTTATGCAAACTTACGTCATGGACTCGAATGCTTTAAATGAAACACGCCATCTCTTTTCTTTGCTGGTTTCTTGTAATCCTTCAAGGTATGAGCTAATTCTTTCTCTTTGCTCTTGACTTGCTCTACAAAAAAAGATACCGTTAGCAAAAATGATGAAAAGAAATAATAATAACCAAATAACCAAATAATTTACCTTACTGGATCAAAGTTTCTAGCCTTGCATTTTTCTGGATCTAAGTACGTTTCACCATATTCATTAGTCATTAAACAGGCTTCGTATACATCAACTGCATTTCAAAGGCTTGGTAAGTTATTTCTTAAAAAACAAGGCGATAATGTAATATTTACAATAAGTAGTCTTACCAGTTGATTTTTCGTGCGACATTGTTTTTATAGGAAAAGAAGAATTAATATTTAATACTATTGTATAAGTATTGAAATTGGATTAATTGAAGGAATTTATATTTTTAATTTGAAGATTCTTGGCATATTTGATATTCATTCAGCATTTCAGCTTGTTTATCAAGACATGCTCATATCATTTGACATGATGATTCTGATTGCCATTTTGGAATGCATTTTAATGGTTATTTATCCCATTTTTAACCAATTATACCACTTATTTTAGAATCCAAATGCTTTTTCTTTTTCATTTACAAATTTGGATTTCATTTACAAAATTTGTTTTATCTTTTTCATTTACAAATTTGGTTTATTTATTTTTTTTTTTCATTTACAAATTTGTTTTATTTATTTATTTATTTTTTTAATAAAAAAAAAAAATAAAAATAAATAAATAAAAGGACGGGAAATAAATGGAGTGAATTAATATGCATGAGAGTGTTAAAATTATTATACAAATAATTTAAATTAATGAGAAAATGTTCGAATTATAAAATGATGATGTTTTTTGAAGAAAATTCTATAATAATTATTCATTGGCGCGTTCCCTTAAACAATTGGAACATAAAAACAATTAATAAAAATTGAATTCATTCATTACGACCCTTTCCTAAAAAGACTAGGTAAACCAAAAATAACATAAATAATTATGCCAGTAAAGGCGACAGCAAAATCTGCAGTGCGTAAACCTGTTGTTTTATCTTCACCACCTTTGATAAAAAGAAGTACGGTATGTACAGAAGCAAGAGTATTAATTAATGTAAGTCCAAATGAAAATAATACCATACGTATTGCTGCAGCTTTTGTCATATTATACGATTTCCGTATCTTCCGTATAAAATCTTTCTTAACTCCGGTTTCTTCGGCTATCTCATTAGTGACCCCCCCTTCATTCACGTCGCCCGTTGGTTTTGATTTATTTGCTGCAATTTTACTTGTATCGGTCATTTGACTTTTAAACTGATCTAGATGTCTGAAGACTTTGAAGACCGCTCTTACTGTAAAATTAAAAATTATTGAGTTTTCATGTGACGAATTACATTAGGAGTGTTTTGAGTGTTTTACAGTTACTTACTGCTGAAGTATGCGCCAATAATAGTTCCTATTAAATTAAATCCAGGATATCCAATTAATTTAACCCACTGAGGATTTTTAATATCACTAATAATAAAATAAAAGAAAATTTATTAATAATAATAATAATAATAATAAAATGGATAATAAATAATATAATAATAATTTACCAGGCTATTTTAAATGGTTGAATAGCATCGTGTTGTATAGATTCAATAGATACAATTATGGTCATTATAATAGGAATAATTACTATAGCAAATATATATGCTTTATGTAATGTCTGAGAATTTCCTTCTTTTTGTCGAACAAGTAATTGATAAAGATGAATCGAAAAACATAAAGCTGATATAATTTGTAAATATGCACAATATTGAAGCTATATTTTGTTACAAATAAACAATTTATGTAATTTTATTGCATATTCGGAATGACAATGATAATTATAATTAAAAGAAAGGTTTCTCAACTTACAGCTATCCCTTGAAAAATGCAAAATTCTCTTGGAACTAATTTCTCAAAATCATTTATCCAAATAACGCTAGATAATACAACCAATTCAATTAATGCTGTTGCTACTGATAGAATACCGATTAAATAATTTATCTTGTTTTTGAATAATTTTATTGCAACATATGATGAACATATAATAGAAATAAATATTATTATATATACGATTATGATTAAGTCTGCCATTTTCTAAAAAAGTTTTTAATATTAACAAAAATTTTTAGTAAAGAAAAAGAAGAAGAAGAAGAAAAAAAATGGATATTGATAATTAAGAAAGTAAGGATAAAAAAATATATATATATATAGTTTTTTTTTTTTTAAAAAAAGAAAGGATTATCTTTGTTATATGAACGTAATCTAATCTCATACTATAATATTATTTTAAGTAAATTCGATTGTCTGCATTCATGTGTTATGTTTTAAGATTTTCAAACAACTTGCGTGAGAAGCTTCTGGGGTAATATTAATATTAAAAAATACTGTAAGATCCTTCGTGATTCTCGGATAGCCTTAAAAAGTCTCATTATCCTTTGTAATACTCATTAACAAATTCGGAATTACCATATATGTATTGTGTAACATCAAACGTTCTCACATCTTCAACTACCAAAGTGTTTCGTCTTGATTATACATCACCCTGAATTTTTTTTTATTGCCGTGTTTCGGCTTTGGATAATCCTTGCAACTCCCGAGTCCTGAAATTTCTATAATTTTCGATAGAATAATCTTTTCAATTCTAATAAAATTTGTTCATAAATTTTTTAATTTTCATCATGAATAATTACTATAGGGCGAAAGACTTTGGTTATCAATATCGGTTGAATAACGAATATAAAGTAATTTTCGTTCCCAATAATTAAAAAATTAATAGTAAACCCGGAACCGTTGATCCTCAATTGAATATCGTACGTACCACCTCTATAAGGACTAGATTAGAAATGGAGTTAATGTATCAACCGTGATAAATTCAAAAATAATGTTAATAAACCAAATGATTGACCGACTAAAATTATAAATTTTAATATAAGGAATTGCACCATTACACAATGCCGACCTTTTTTTAATTATTTCTAAAAATGGTGTAATTAGGTATATCGTAAGTTTTTTATAACCTCTGGTGATTTTGCTTTCTTACAAATTTACTTGATCTTAATGTTGTTTGATATTCATGACAACTTTTCATTTATTTACAGGAATTGAGGAATACGAGAATTGAGAGGAACAAATGTACTCTATTAATATAGTTTTTAACATATATGTTAATCACGTCATTGTGGGTAACTTTGTGTACGCGTGTACACGGATGTCACATGATGTCCCATGATACAAGTGTCCTTTAATACCTTTAATATACATCAATAGTATTTCTTTATTTACCCGAAATGCTCATATTAATAATGTGCTAATCATGTGATTTATAGCCAACAATGATCATAGAGTTATATTTATATATTAAAACTCTTTTCACCTATCTTTGGATTTTATCTCTTACGCCTTATTATACCATATTGGATTATTTGATTCATCATATTATAAACATCAAAACAATGGAAATTGTCAAAATACACTTTTGTGGCACATTAAAGAATTTGATATCGAAAGCTGATTCGTCCTTTTTTGATATCTTTTCTCTAATTTGAATTACAATCACTTTATTCCTCAAAAATAGATTCTTTAAAATTAAAAGTTTGACTAAAAATGGCATAATTCGGGGTTCCCCAATAAACAAAAACTTTTTGATATATTTTATAAAACTCAATTGTTTTTTATTTTTTAATTTTTATATTTTTTTTTTTCACATAAAAATCCTTCTTCCTAAATTACCCACTTTTTCCACTCCTTACTCTGTCAATGATAATTAATAATGGGGCTAAGTGTAATGATAATTAACATAGTTTATTTAATATCATTCATATGCTCAATTTATATAGCACTTTCTTTATTAAAACTTAGAAAAAATCCATTGATTGGTATATACTGTTGTGCTTATTGTTTATTATGTTGTAATATTTTAAGCGGAGTTATATTCAAGAATGATTTGTCATCCGCCCCAAAAGCTTTTTGTTTTTTCCAAGGATACATGGTAAGTTTATGACTTAATAATTTAATAATTTGTATTTTATTATTGTATTAATCAATTTTTTATATAATAGGTTCAGTTTATTTGTTATATAACTTCAATGTCAGCGATATGTTTTTCACATGAGATTTATTCATTATTAATGAATCACAAACATTCAACATTTTTTGAAAGTAAAAAGGGTTATTATTTGTTAATAATATTATATCCTTTAATTATGGGTATACCATTATTTATTGTATGTTTTAAAACTGATGCCATAATTCCAAGAGAACTAAAATGGTAAGATATTTATTTCATTATTGTTATTATATGATAACCTTTTATTTAAATATATTCATGATAATTTTTTTGATAATTTCACTATAGTGATGTGGCTAATCCTATATGGGTTAGATTATTGGGATATTCTGGTGCTAATTTTATATTAAGTATCCCTGGAATGTATTTCAGCGGTAATTATAATTATTCAGTTTTAATTATCACACGAGATAAAATTTTTTTTAATTATATATTAATTTTTTTCTTTTTTATTACAGCACGCTCAGCATATATTTTATATAAACATTTGGATCGATTTAAAGATTTCTCATTAAATGAAGATACTAGTCAAAGTAGTCAAACATTCCCTAATTCACCAAATTCACAAATAACGCAATCTCCTATATCGCGACAATTTTCACAAACTAAAAACAATCTTGATCAAAAAAGATATAGTTTGACAAAAGAGGCTGTAATTAGAATGTCCATTCTTTCTTCAAGTATTATTTTAATACATTGTTTAGGAAGTATAGGTACTATAATAAGTGTTCTGACCCATGAATCACTTTCAAAGAAAGTAAATCTCAATGATTGGGCTGGTAGTGTTATTGGTATTTGCACTTTTCTAATTTTTGGGTTTAGTAAAGAAATTAGAAATGCCTGGCATTGATTAACGTAAGTTACGTAATTCGGTCAACTTCTCGTTATGACCAAGTTAATCAATTAATTTTTGAATTCTTTGCTATAAAAATATAACGACAGAAATTTATTTCGGACCGACTGCACCTAATATTTAGTACATATGATTTATTTATTAATTATAATATATATATTATCTCTCTTAACAATTATATTGTATACAGTATGCGATTATTATTATTATTATATATCTATACATGGATTTTTTTTTTTTTTTTAACAGGGTAGTTATTAATTTGTACTATATATAGAAATACCCCGAATTACGAATTATTAATAAGAAAAGATCTTCAACTAAAATCTACCACTAAATTAGATTACTTGTAGATACTTAAATTCGTAATTTAATTTAATGTAATCTTGTAATCCTATAATATTCATTTGTAAGTACGGTAATAAATTGTGTTCTTTCATTGTAACGTTATGTAATATTTGTACTGCTTATTAAATTACATAGATTTTCAATATTTGCCGAAAATAATAGTCTTCCCGATCGAAAGAAATTTTTATTTCGGACTTTTTTTTCATTTTCGTTTAATTATGTAAGCAATTTCAAGACCTAGTATATTAATGGTGAAATTACTGGTTTTATTTTTTTTCGTACTATTAATTTATTAATTTTAATTTATTGTTAAAAAATATTAATTTAAAAATTTTCCTATCATTAAAATTTCTTATTTAATAATTAATAATAATGACAAATAATAAATTCTATTATTTGACGATGATTATTTTACTTATATTACCGACAATCCAGCTAACCCGGAAAGTACAGCGATCCGCAACTTATTTTGTCAATAGGATTACGGGACAATGTTCAAAGGAAACCCAGCATAAATGGTAATTTTTGATTGTGTGAAAATTTTTATAGATGATGTGCGCTATATATTACTAAACAAATTGAATAAATGTAATAAATGTGCGCTACTATTTTGCATATTGATGTTCGGATTTCTTTGAATTTACGGATAATCCGCATATTTTGAAATTTTTTTTTTCATATTTGCAAAATAATAAGATATTAATGACAATACCGCTAATATCCCAGGAAGAGTTAAAAAAAATATGAACCAAAAAAAAATTAAATTTCTATATTAAAAATATGCACCAACAATTTTCCCACGAACCACGATCCAAACATGCCAAATGATGCAATACATAATTATATTAATTTACGTTGTCTGTTGTAAATTTTTTTATAATATTATATATAATTTACTTCTTTGAACTCTTTTTTCTTTCCTCCTTTTGTATCGGTATATACACCTAGAGAAAATAGTACAAAAACTAAGTAAAAAAAATACCAACAATTAACACATGTGCTATAGCATTTTTGCACACATAGTACGTTAAGGCTCCTCAATAAGTTCATATACCACAAACCATGCTATATCTTCAATCGGGTACGCCATTCGACCCATGTCTTCCCAAATAAAATACACGGCCATAACAATCTAAAAAAAATCGACCTCCCCGATGAAGATTATATGATCAAAGCCTAATTCTGCAGCATTTGCTATATAGAAACCCAATTCTTTAGGATTACTATTGGAGAGAAACTTGCAACCGATAATGGTTGCAATTCGAGATCAAACAGATTCCTCGAATGTATCAACTAAGATAAGTGAATTGTTGCTACCCGATGAGATGAAACTTGTTTCATCACATACTGACAGATGTCGCACGGTTCCTTGACACTCAATTGTGTTTGAAAGTTCAGGGATAGGAAGAGGGTGAGCATATATATGTATATATATATATATAAGTCTGTCCAATCATAGTCTCCACCGGTCAGCTGTTCTTTGGTTAGGACATCTCGATAATTTGCTGCCCATTGTAACGTTTCCATTTTTTCTACTCTCGATTGTGCACACTTTTTGTTCATCCGTATTGGATAACGAACTGATGTGCCCATCATGAATCTCACCACCATTTCTTTTCGTTTCGAAATCTCTTTCGAGTACGTTAGATTCACAGTTGATGGTCTCAATTTTTAATTTGGTTGATTATTATTTATTTGCATACTTAATTTCATTTTCCTTTGGGGTCGGAAAGCGTGAGTCCAGAGAAGAGCCCAGGCATTCCAAATAGTGATAATCGGTATTGGACGAAATTTGTGTAAAATATTGTTTTTCCCTCCTGGGCGAAGGGTGTGATTTCCTGCTTCGTTCTATATACAATACGTTTTTTGAATTTGTTCAGAATTTCGTTGTACTCTCTTTCCAGTCCCTCTCATTAACTGAATGGTACTACGAATTTCGTAATCAAGACTTTCTGTCATTTCTCTTTTAAATTTACTAGCCATTTGAACGGACTTAAGATAGATACTGTTACGGCAAATAAAGTAACTAATGAATAAACTAAACATACTTTACTGTGTCCCCCTTGATAATCAAACATAATAAAAATTTACAAATGTATGAAATCACCACCTATTAAGGGACTGGTTCAATTCACCAACAAACATTTCACCGACAATTATTTCACTGACAGTTTTGAAATCCTAATCCCCTTATTCTAACCTTAGTCTAACCCTAATCTAATCTTGTCGGTGAGAACGTCTGCAAAATGACCCTGTCGGTGAATTTGTCGGGAAAATAATTGTCGGTGAAGAATAATTACAATTGACAATTTAATTAATCTATATACAGTACCATATATCACGACGAGGAGAATATTCTAAAGTAATTGGATAGCCAAGCCAGCTATTTTAACATAATAAATCATAAATTCATCAAATACTAGCCCAAAACCTTTTACACTATTAGAATAACTTACTTTTGCAGTTTGGAGTTTATTTTTGTTTGTAAATGAGAAAATAAAATGACTTATAACCACTAAAAGAATCGGTTTTACTACGAAATCCCTACAATCAGGATCCCGCTACAACACCCGACGCTCGATAATCCTGACAAATCATAATCCCGAAACTTCAAAATCCACTTTTTTTTTTTTACTTTTTTTATAGACGTAATATTATTGTAATATTTTGTAATAAATATGTAATAATTTTTAAAATATATCGCAAAATTACAGTTTTTATTGTAAAAAATTAATAATTTTTTTTAATATTTAATAATTTTAACAAAAATAAATGTTTTTATTATCTTTTTTATTAATATTTAATAATACATTGCAAAATTTAAGTAACAATTAATATTTTTATTAATATGTAATGATTTTTTTTTAACATTGTTTTATTGTAAAAATTAAATATTTCTTAAGGATATATCAATCGGGATAATGAATGTCGGGAATAATGTGATTACGGGATTTTGAAGTTTCAGGATTATGATTTGTCAGGATTGTGGGATTCTGAAGTGGATTAATATCTTCCAACTATTTTTTCTGAATATATAATTCTCGCTATAACTATAGTAGATAGATCATTTATTACCGTATTCATCCGAAAATAAGCAACAACTTTTTGCACGTAATGCAGGCCATGATTTAGTAATGCGGGCCAAAAAATGCCATATTCCGCCCATGTTGGTTATTTTCGGGGGGTGCTTATTTTCCGATGAATACGGTATCTCATTTTTTATGAAATGCTACCATCCCTACTAGCACGATAAAGTAAACTATAACTATATGGGATATTTCTCGCGATATAATGTAATTTATTTTTCTTTTAAATCCCAACTAGCAAAAAATATACTGTATATGTAATTATATCTGAATCATATCGTTATTTTCGACAAGGTTATATCCAAATCTTTTATCTACTATGATATATTTTTAAATTCGAAGTTATATTATAAATGAAGTAAATCTACTTAATCTTCTTTTCACCGTAAATTCACTTTTGTTATATCTTGTTGAAGTTGACCAAATGCCCAATTTAATAAATCTTTCCAAGCGATAATTTCATAATAATATAAAATAGTCTCGTTTAAAATCATTTCTAAGATAGATGGATTAAAGGTAAGAAATTTTAAACGAGGCTGATCAAGTTATTGACCCCATAATTTATAAGATACTTTTGATAAGCTAATTCAATAATTTCAATAACACTTTTAATAACGATAACGATTTTCTAAAAAATTTTTGTAATAAATGTCACAGGATTGTAATTTTGTTAAGCCAGCTTTTATAAAAATATATAAAAAAAAAAATATTAGAAAATAGAAATATTTCATTTATCTTAAAAAGTTACTATAATATATAGAAAAATATCTCAAAAATTTAGGTGAATAATTTGAATTTAAAATGAAATAACCTTCCTTTTTCAGCAAAACAGTTTTTTGATTCTTTTTTTTAAAACGATGAAATTCTTTGATATATTTGATAATCATAAATGAACATCACACTTTGATTTTGAACTAACAATTTCGTTAGAATAAATACTAAAATTGTCAACGATGCCAATAATCAGAATTTCGTATCGACCACCACATCAACCACCAGTCCCCACATCGATCACCGTATCGACTAACCATCACACCACCACCACGAAAACATCAAATGAGTGAAACGACGACAAAGGAACTTAGAAACATCAAAAATACGCATGTACTATGAAATCTATTTGTTAATCGAACTTGAGAAAGATAAATATTCATCTGGGGACGAAAATAAAATATTTATCCTAACTTGTGTCGTCTAAATTGAGGACGAACAAAAATTTCAACTTGGGACGAAAGAAACTATTACGCTCCATTTTCATTGCAATCTTTACATGATCATTTGCCACGTTGCCATTCATTTACATGATTATGAATAAAAAGGATTTTCTTCTAAAATAACAGCAGTCAGTGCGACTCAATATAGCACTTACAAACACAAAGATCTTAATAAATTGTGTGACCGAAAATATGTGACTCATCATTTATTATTATTATTATTACACCAGATCACTATTTAATAGTTCGCAGCGAAGCAAATTGCAAAAAATTACCTCTTTCTCTTCTTCCTTTTCCTTCTATTATATTTCATCAAGTATAGTGAAGGTAAGGTACAACCAACTCTCCACACGGTCAAATATACTTGAACGAATATAAAAACTGAAGTTGGATGATTTGTCTGTCAGTATATCATATTTGACATATTATTGTAAGCAGCATATATAATATAATTTTGTCCGTAGATCTATGTACAGTAACTCAAATATAAAACAATAATTATTTTAATGAGTTTTTCTTTCATTGTAATATTTGATATCACTTTGACCTTTAAGATTTTCATCAATTAACTGCTGTGTGACATTTTATATGAAGGATCGAAGAGTAATATCGCATAAATAAAGATATACGTACGTATCACAGTATATCGAACTTAGTCCGACGATTCGACGATTCGTAGTAATTATTACATGAGTATGTGTTTATATGAAATTTGATAATACATACTGTATATACGGTATTACCGTGTTCATAATAATATTAACTATGTGAAAAAAAAAATAGTATTATTCAATTAATAAATTTAGTAAAATGATACGATATCTCTATCATCTCTGATATACAATAAGGTTGTCAATAAAATTTTTATGAAAAATTTATATACATATTAATTAATGAAAAATTTTTTACTACCCTAATTCTATACAATTAGGAATTTTATTAGGCGCAGTATATTCATAAATATACAGTGAATCATTCTCACATCAAAAACGTCACTCGTAGTCGCAATGAAACTTATTCGTATAATTATCGATTATTACATTCCAAAAATCACGAATTCTGCATCATCAGTGTTATAAAATCTTTCGTAGTATCTGAAAAAAAAACTAAATTATAGGTCGAATGACCGTGTGTGTGGCTATGCTTGAAATTTTTGTTAAACTGGCTTTTTAATTATTTTGAACAGATATTTAATCCGGGCTTCTAATCCTGTATACTGGTATTATTATTTTCAGATCGAATAAAGCGAAATGAAACTTGCTTTAAGCCATTTTTTGAAGCATAAAATATCAAAAATCAAAATTCAATTGATTACAAAAATATTGTATCTTTAAGACGATTTTTAAAAAAATAAAAAGTATATGCAAAAAAATTTTTTTTTTTTTTTTGTATGGTGACTAATAGTACATCTGTTTCTAAAGATTCATAATCTATTTCAGATTTATTTGGATGATGTAATTACAAATTTCAAAATTTCTATATGTACATTCATGAAGTTAATTGAATTGGACCTTCTAAACATATCAACTCTGTAGCATCCGGATTTATAACTTATAATAAATCAATAAAAAAAATTAATATATAAATATTAATGTACAAAAATCAATACTCTTATACAGTAAATACTTACGAGTAATTCTCACAGTAACTCCATTGAAGGGTTTAAGTTCCGGTCTATTAGGTACAGTAACAGTAATATCATAATCAAAATTACCAACAGGAATGGGGCATAATTGTGAACCACTAGGCACGTTAGGGGCAAGAAGTTCGTTACAAAAATCAATATTATAAACAAGAAATGAGAGAAGACCGGTCCCTTGAACTTTTAAGTTTGAATTTTGATCAACTTGAACTTGCGATGTTCCTACTATTTTTAGTGTTAAATTTTGACCAAGAACTATTGGATTAGGAGTATAAGTAAGTGTTGTAATGGATAATGGATATGTTTTCCCACTATCACATAATTGGAATTGACTTAATTGTCGAGGAATTAGATTAGAAGATGATGTAGTGACAAGGGCAAAGAGAAGTAAGAGAAATGTGATGGAAAATAATTTATTCATGATTTATTAATTATAGTCCGTTATTTGTGACTGTGAAAAAATTTAAATATTTAAAGCTTTTTTGACGGGACAAAGCACGTTTACGGTAAGAGCATATTTATTATATACGGAAAGCGGTAAAAGCCACTGGCGTAAAAAGGCACGGTCGATCAGCCTCAAAATGTCATATTGTGACATCAATTATCTATTTCTTATATGATTTATTATTAAAATAATTTTATATGATAAATTATAAATAATTATAATAATATATATTATGTATATGCTTTAAGAAAAACTAAAAAAAAAAAACTGATAAATTATTATCATTATAATAAATTAAATAATCATAATAATCATAATATTTTTTGTGCGAAAACACGAGTAATAGGAACCATAGTATTATTTTCATTTGCTTCTTCACAAAGTGTATCAGCGATGCATGGAATATCTTTAAGTTGCATTCCCATGAATTTTGCATAACGTGGTAAATACATATTAATATTATCATGAGCAAATTGTAAAGCAGTTTCACCAAGTTTTTCACCATGTTCACCAATTGGTAAATATTCTGTTTGTTTTTGAATATTTTCCATTTCGTTTGTTTCCATTAAAAATTCTTCATATTTATTAACCACATTAATATTTTTATCTTTCGTACATTTAATATTGGTTACTATCATATGATTAAAAAAAAGAATTTTATATTATTATTATTATTTTTAAAAAAATGAAAAATTTAGCTTCTATTAAATTATTACTTACAATTATTTAAAAAATTTATCAGCTTTGGTCCCGGATTCTGAAAATCCATGCCAAAGTCCGTAATCTAAATTCAGACAATAGGAATTTTAAATTTTTTTTTTTCTACTTTTAAAAAAGAGAAACATGTTAATAAAAAAAAAAAATTCTTTATTTTTGTTACAAACCTCGACCCAACCGCCAGGTTTCAAACACCTGATTAATTCTTTTATTATATCTTTCCATTCGGATTCAGAATATTCCCATGCACAAAATCTAATAACGATAAAATCAAATCTATTATCGTCATAGGGAAGTCCCTCATTCTGAATGTCCGATTTAATGAATTCAACATCAAATGGTTTTCCATCTTCATCCGAAGATATAGAATTCACCCCTATGTATGTACATCCGGGATAATTCGCACTCATTTCAGCCAACCATGTTCCTAATATACTACTAAAAAAATTATATAAAAAAAAAAATTTAAGCTACTGCAATTTTTAATGAACGTTTTTTTTTTTGACATAAGGTTTTAAATCAACTAACTTTACATGAAGGACTCTTGCACTCCATCCTGTAAGAATATTATGTACAGGTGAAGAAAAATTTCCTTTAAAAATTTCTCTTACAAGATGATGTCTTAAATGCAGATTATATTTTTCATCATCATTCAGTACATGATTATCATAATAATTTGGAAATTTTGAATGAATTTTCCCCATTTTTTGTTATTTGTATAAAATAAAGAGAAAAGGAAATTATTTAAATGTTTTTTGTATCGTGGTAATAGTGATATCAAAAGGAAGGTTTTTTTTTTAAAAAAAAAATCATGGCGCATTGTGACATTACAAATAAATATGTAAACACATGTATTACAACATTTAAAAAACTTTAAGACAGGTTTAGAATGCGAATCAAATATAATTCTTAAAATTACGCAAATACCCCGAATCTTACAATGTTACAATCAAAAGAAGATCGAGTAAAAGTTTGGTATAGTTCAATATTTAAGTTTTTAAACTTAAATTTCCGTCTCACAGTCACAAAAATGTCCGTGGCGCAGTACTCGTTTTTTTTTTTTTTATCTTACGTGGAGTTAAATTACTAATCCTTCTTATCTGATTCTGTGTTACGACCCCCTATATGTTCTAATCACAAACAATTAAATTGGGAATTACTTACTTTTGTTATTTTTTTTTTTTTAAAAAAAAAATAAATAAAAAGAGGATTTAAATTATCATTAATCACCGAAATCTTTTCTTTTTTTTCGGAAAATTTGCTAAAAATATAAAAAACATATCATGTTACAATAATCTTTTACTTATATAGTAAATTTACCAAGTCACAAAAAAAAAAGAATTCATAATAATTGCAAGTAATTTTTAGTTTTTCATTTGTGATTATAAGGGGGTGGCACAATTTCGAAAAAAACAATTAATAACTTGATCAACACTTTGCGATATTTATTATTATTTGGTTATTATTTAGATCAAAAAAAAAAAATAAACCCCTTACCAAACTGTGCATATAAGGATGTATCGTTACACAATTACATCATATTATCATATTGCATCAAAGTCAGGTCGCGCGCATTTACCCATACTTAATAATATAACTAGTAAATACAGGTAATGAAACGGAAGGTCACCATTATTTTGGTCTTAGTTTATTTTAACGTCACGCTTACCAAATCGAAAGATATAAAAAAGCGCGATTAACAAAATTTTTCTTCTTCATAATTTCTTTATCTGTACACACTTTTTTTTCTTCTGGATTGTCAACGTACATGTACTTCCCAATATAAATTAAACAGTACGTTATTTTTTTGCCAGCAAAACAAAATTCATTATAATGATATATTTATCAATTTCGTGTTACATAATAGTATTTGAACTAACTAATTTTAGGTCTCGAAGATTAACTATCTTCTTTGAGAAGGTTGAGAAATTACGATCGAAAAAATTATGTTGTGATAATGACGCGCCTCAGATATCAATTATGTGAATAATCTGTAATACAATAAAATTAAGCTTTTTCCAGCAGTCATAACTTCTTTTTAAAATTATAATATGATACAATCGTCATCTGAGGCACGACATGGTTAGGGATTTAAACAGAATGTGTATTTATTTAAGAAGGTTGTACTATACATAGCATATAAACCTATACCGATTCAAAGGTACAGACGGAGTGTATAATCCCTTGGACACGGAGGAGAAAGAAAGGTTGTTGTTGGACAACAATATTAATGCGAAACAGTTATCAACAACAGTGGTACGATAAGATATAAAAGTGGAATAGCAATCATAGTATACAGTTCCCATGGGCTGGAGATTAAAATTCGTTATAATATAGTGAGAAATTCACTATACTAAGGGTTATTTTATTAAAAGAAATTTGCACCTGAAATTTTCTTTATTATAGCAAGTTATTCGTTATATAAAAATTCGCAAAAATTACTAGATAAATAGAACAATACTGTAGTATAGAATCATTAACTAACGGATGAATCTAGAATTTGAAATTCTACATATTTCCGTGAGGATATAGAGGGATCATGTGATAATTGTGACATTGAAAAAAAATGAGAATTTATTCTAGAATTGGAATAAAATGTCGAATTATAAGTTTTTATGAAGTGGAATTCTGGATTATCAATGTGTAAAAAATATAGATTCTCGAGAATCGATTCCGATCCCTAATATTGTCTTTATAGCAAATTACTTTGGAAATTGAGGCAAATTTACTTTATAAATCAGACTTTAGCGTATATTATCCAACAAATTTATAAACCTTTTTATTAACGTCTAATGCTAAAAGACACTCGACACTCGACACATTCGGTAAGTCATAAAATCATATAGTTAGATTCGGGCAACATTGATGTAGTTTTATATCCTACCGAAAATGACGGATATCTTATAAAATTTGCTGAAATGACGGAATCTAGATAGTTAATTTAGATAGTTATAGCAATGTATGTATTTCCGAGAAACTATTTTTATTTGTGTATAAGTTTAATTTTCATTGCATATTTGACCATCAATACTTGAACGAGGGAATACTTTTAGACAATAGAAATTTATAATTTTTTAGTCCTATCATTGATGCTTATTAGAAGTTTTCTAGGTCTATATTTTTAACAATAATTTATCCTCTGTACATTTCTCAGTAAAATTCAAAGAACTGCCTAATTAATTGGACCACCAATTAATTTGAAATGAAAAATAACGATTATCTTTAGATTAGATTCAAAAATCAAAAATTCTTTAGTATTATAATAAATCCAGCTTCGTCAATAATAAATCCACTATTTATATATGGGTATAAGTCTCCAAATTTGGTTACTGTTTTTCATTCATAAAAAATTTGATTATCTAATTACTCTCGCCTAGATCATTAACTATTATTGATACTGCATATTAAAAAAAAAAAAGGGGGATGGAAATGAGTAATTAATATTATGACTTTTGGTAATCGAAAGAAATTAACAAAATAGAACTAAATATTTTTTTTTTTTGACGAATATAAAATGTACCAATATTATGAATATTAACTAATATATAGTAGTCCTTCATAATATAGGGACTACCAATGATAAAATGATTTACAATATTAAGTGTAACACAAAAACATTAATTTATTCATACCCGAATTTTGATACCCTGCAAATTTATCAGTTATATTTAATGGGTTTTCACGGAATTTATAATTTATGGAAAATAAACCGGATAAAGTTTTTTGCAAAAAAATATCAGGAAACATCCGACCTTTTGAAACAACGGATAAATGTTAAAACTGAATAGCATCAAGCAACATATTTGCCAATCAACATTTCTGAATCCTTTTTAGTACTACTTGTATAGTATTGGTACCGTGAAAGGATATAAATCAAAACGCGAGTCCGAAATTCTTTTTGTAGAAAAAAAAATCGGTTATATAGGAATCGTTTATTTGGTACATCCTTACATGTGTCCCTCTGGGATTCCCGTATTTCCCCGAAAATATTCCTAATTTCAACTAGCGGGGAGGAATTTAACTGCAATTCATCGGGAGGACTATACTTTTAATTAGTCAACATGTTTAAGGAATTATTTCATCCTATCAGGCATTATTATTTTTTTTTTTCCTTTTTCCTTTTTTCAGTAAATTTTTTATTTTTAAAAAAAAGTAAAATGTTGCACATGCAAAACAATGCATCGGTTATGAACATCTTAACAATTTTAGTAAAGAAGTAATAACAATAACATATACTAATTAGTTCATACAATAAATAAAAGATAATGGCAAAATTTTATCCAATTGTAAAGTTTTTATATGTTGTAACATAATAAATCATTGATGTATTGTAAATCAAATTTTTTAGATATCAAATATTTAAACACATGTTGAGTATTGATCCGACATCATTATTAGCACAAAATCTTGTTGTTAAAAATTGATCTTTTTAGTATTATGTTTTTTAAATTATGAAAGTGAATTTATATATATATTAATATATATATATATAAAAGAAAATTCCCAATTTTGTAAAAAGAAGATTCCTAATTCGTAAAAAGATAATTCATAAAAAGATAATTCATAAAAAGAAAATTCATAAAAAGAAAATTCGTAAAAAGAAAAAGTCCTAATTCGTAAAAAAAAAAAAAGTCCTAATTCGTAAAAAAAAAAAAAATCGTAATATGGCTGAGAGAAAATATCGGTTTAGGAAATTACAGAATCTCCACTTTTGATTGGTCCATATAAATTATTGAGATGTTTCATGTCAAAAAATCATGTGTACACCATACACACGTGAATTGTTATATAATCCAGTTCTAAAAAGAACAATCTTAGTGGAACTTTTAATATATAAATTTGGGATAAAAAATTTAAATAATTAAATTTACAAATAAACTCCTTTCTAATATTCCTAATTTGAATATTCATTACAAGGAGTTTTTTTAGATTTTTATCGATTCCTTATTGATTCTTATTTTAATTGATTAAAAAGGTTTAACTCATAAACTTATGATCAGTACCACTGAAACTGTTACTCTATTACACAATTTTGACTTACAAATTGTCTAATTTGCTCGCGATTAAGTTAATCTGATATTGGACTTTGCCAAGCAAAAACCCTTGATAATTTTCATCTTTATATCTTTTATAATGGGAGATACCGAGATTTCTTTATTTATTGCCGGCGGCTGAAAAAAAAAAAAAGGCTCTAAATTACTAAACATGAATGAATATATACTATTTGTTGTATTTTTACATCCCCCGAATCTACAATTCTGTACAACAATTCAATTTGAACCAATTAATTAATAGATGTAATGAAATCGGATAGTACATTTTAACCAGGGTTATTTATTAATGATAGTTCCTAAAATGGTTTAAAGACTAAAATCGCGTTCAGAGTATTATTTATTTTTATTTTTATTATGTTCTGGCGCCTCCTTGAATGATATTATATTGTCCTCACAATATGTTGTACTCTTATGCATCAATTTTTCGTAAAACAATCTTTATGGGAAACTTGGCGCAAAAAGATATTTAATTCATCGTTATTATTTTTATTTCCTTAAAAATATTTTTTTTAAAAAAATATATATAAATTAGCCATTAGTCCATAATGAAAAAAATTTTATCGAATTCTCTTCGTTATTCGAATTTACATATATGTGAGCAAGTTTTTTTTTTTAAAAAAAAAATATAGTACCTTAAAATTTTTCTTTTATCATTTTTCCACAAAAGCAATTAACTAACTTCAAAACTTACCTACTTCAATATTTTATAGGCACGATATTAGAACTGAATGATTGTTTGCTTTTATTCTCCTTAATATCAATACACTCCACTCCGTCTTCATTCCTAACCCTTTCTTTCATTTAGTTCAAACTTACTTATTCTTTCTTTTTTATAATATCAATAATTTTTAATAAAATAATGGGAAATACATTCTCAGGACGAAAACCCTTTAAGATTAAGAGAAAAAAGAGTGTTGATGGATGCTCTAAATGCCATAGATTTATATACGTTGATACAATTCGGGATGCTAACTTTTCATGGCTAGAAGGCCGCCGTGTTTCAGCAGACGATTTTTTTCCCATAGCTCGACAAGTTGAAGGAGTAAGAAATGAATTTAATGAATTTCAAATTTTTTTTTTTTTTTCATATAAATTGAAATTTCTAATTAATTTAATGAATGTAAATTTTAAGATTGATCGATTAGGCATTTTGGTATGTTTCTATTATTATTTTTATACTTCTTATTAATATAATATTCATACAAGTAAAAACTTTTATTAAAAAAAAAAAAATAGATGCATGATATATATAAATATATGTTGAGGGGAAATACTAGAACCCCTTTAACTTCAATCAGGGTATGATTTACAAGATGTTACATTTTTTTTCCAAAATAATTTTCCATTTTAACTAATTAGGCAATATTATTCATATTTGCCTTATCTTTGTACATTAAAAAAAGAGGTGCTTACATATCGGGTAAGTTGTATGGTAAATATTGGGGCAAATATGCCTTCCTCTGACTTATTTTTTAACCTTTTAATATTTAGGTCGGGACATAATATTTGGCTAATTGAGATGGCTAAGTAAGTTATGTTTAATTCAGGATGTTTTTGTTTTAATTGATGAATGATGATGTATATCATTTAATAAAAAAATTATTTCATCAGTGATAACAGAGAGATCCAATTTGAGGGATTCGATATTAAGACCGGGAATATCGACATGAATTCGTTGCCGGAAAATTTAACGTTCACTCACGGGAATATTTTTGAGAGTGAGTTTTAACTGAACGATCACGTGATTGATATTTTTATAACTGCCCAAGTAATATAATTATTTTTTTTTTTCACTAAAAGATGGTCTTCCCTATCCGGATAATTATTTTGATTACGTTAACGGTAAGCTCATGAATGAAAAATATTTGTCATTATTTGATTTACTAATAACAAAATTTTTTATTATTTAACTTAATAAGTGAGGTCTTTACTAGGTTGGTTACCCAGGGACAAGATTTCGTTTGTGATCGAGGAAATAAGGAGGGTAACGATCCCTGGCGGGAAACTCGAGATGCTGGTATGTTTTTTCCAACATATTTTTGAAGAATTATTTAAATAAAAATAATTGATTGATTTAACTTTTCACTTTCAGGAGACCGACGTCATCATAAAGTAAGTAATCATTACTTATCCTTGGATGAAAGATTTTTACTATTTTTAATTCATATATGTGTGTATATAAATAAATTAGAAATGCGACGGAACATTATGAAGAGAAACTTGGAAAGATCTGGCGGGATTTATGTGCATGTAAAGGTTACGATCCCAATAATGTAATTGAATTGGATAAATTCCTGGAGAGGGACTTTTTCGGAATAACGAACTCAAAATTATCAATACCTATTGGGGGGTTTGGCGGAAAGGTAAGGAAATATACATATATTAATTATTTTGGATTTAAAAATTTAAGTTAAATCATTCTTTTTTTTTTCGTAGGTCGGTGAATTATACGCTGAAGCGTTTATCTGTGCAGTTACTACTATTGCGTCAGTCATGGAGGAGAAACTAAACATGACTGATAAAGCTATTAAAGAATATCTTTCAGAATGCATCGAGAAGTTGAATATTGCCCAGGCGTACACCAACATATATCTAGTCACCGCCACAAAAAGCTTTAGGTGATAATATATATATATGTATATACACGATAAAAAAAGAATATATGATAAATAAGCTTATATTGTATGTTAGTACCTTCTTAAGATATTATTATAAATTTAATACATAATTTGCATGTCATATGAGATTCTCATAAGCATAATTCTTTTCACAAGATCAAGAAAGTGTATATAAGAACTTAAATTTATTTAATTTATTTGAAGATTTAGTTTAAGAAGTAACAAGTTTAATAATTTTTTCTCTTGACGAAATTTTTTTTACGTAAATAAAAATACGATTAACTTTTAATAACTGAAAAGAAAAGAGTAAAATAACGTTAAAATAATCACTTACCATACAAAGCCAAGAATGAGGATCGTCGTACTAATCTCTACATAAGATCGATGCGAAATATGTCGATCTGCCACATCTCTTGTTTAGTCATCATGGCTGGCTAATGTTTATTTCGAAAATCCATTACGATTTTTAGCTTTATAGTTCAGATTAAATCTAGATTGGCTTGATAAAAAGAAACTACGCATTCGAATCTCTCATTTTTTTTAAATTTTTCTAAATTTTCTCTTTCCCTTTTTCTTTTTTTTTTTTAAAATAAATCATGAAAAAATCCGACGTCAAAAAAAAAAACGCACCTTTGTCATTATTATTCATTATTAAAGATGAAAAGTGAAGAATACATAAACTTAGTCTGTTTTGTTACTACAACTCTATGCATCTGCTCGTAAAACACCGATCATTTAGTGCAAAAGTGCTGATATAAATTTCATATTGGTTGAATCGGTTAAACTTTTCTCCCTCATGATTAAAATGGCAAATATTTAAATTCGTTATTATTCTTTACAACGTTAGTTTAGCAATATTTTTGGCGCACTTTGCACGTTGTTACACAAATCATATTTGTTCACATGATTATTTGTTAAACTAGGAATACTGCGGTGACACTTCTTTGGTATATTTGGTATAGTATTAATAGACTTATCAGATCATTTTTATAACTAAAGATTTTCAATTGGTAAATTTTCTATAATGATTATAAATACCTAAAATATTATCATTTCTTTCAAATTATCAAATGGATTTCCTGCTTTTTTTTTTACTATTTCAATACACTTATATTAATAGTTAAATAAATCCTTTATTCTTATTTTTACAAACTATTTAATTTCTGGCTTTTATAATAATTTCAAAGTACTTTTGAGTAAAGATAACGGTTTTATCAATTTATTTGATATATATTAATAGATTTTTTCATATTAAAATAAAAAAATTAAATAAATTACTCTTTTTTTTTTTTAATAGTAAATATAAATATATTTATTGATGATATAAAATTTAGGATTAATTTTATATTCACCAGGGGTGAATTTACCTCTGGTGAAATTCACCAGTAATATGATAATTTTAGTTTTATATTAGTTTTGTTTGTATTACGTTTTACAATTTCATACATGTAATAAAAATTTTTTTATGAATTTTTTTAACTGTAACTTTTTTTTCAAACATACTATTAAACCCATACAACTCAATTTCATAAATTAGAAATGAAATTTATAGAGAAATTTGTGTTTTTTATAACACTACTAACTGTTTAACTCCTAAAGTTTTATATTTTTTATTTAATAACTTTAAAGTGTAATTTCAATACTTTAGTCAAATGAAATCAATTTCTTTTATTAATTAAAAGTTGTTCAACAGAGCCAAAACTACTTGTATATTATTTTTTATAAGTGTAGGTATAATACATATAAAAAAACCCATATTTTTCATAATGGTACTAACTTTCAAAATTGTTTTTTTATTTATTAACTTCAGAGCATAATTTTACCACTTTAGTCAAATGAAATTGACTTTCTAAATTAATTGAAAATTGTTCAGCAAGGTCAAAACTACTTGTGTATTAATTTTCATGGGTGTAGGTATAATACATATGGAGAATTCTACATTTTTCATAATAGTACTAACTTTCAAAAATTTTTTTCTGTTTATTAACATCAGCGCGTAATTTCACTACTTTAGTCAAATGAAATCAACTTTCTAACTTAATTGAAAATTGTTCAGCAAGGTCAAAACTACTTGTACAGTCAACTCTCTTTATAGTCACACATTTGGGACAGTCCATATTTGGTGATTATT